CTTCTTTGCATGACCCATGCGCTCATCCACTTGCTGTTTTGCCATTGTTTCATAAATCCATTGATTCCTACATCTAGGTCATTTTTTCCCCATTTGAGCGTGCATCTCATGCTTGTTAGTTGTTTGCTGTTGGTTCCAATGATCCATTCGTAGCCTAGTTCTCTGCCCAGTTTTGCAAGTTCATCTGCCCGTTCATTATTTTTGTTTCCTGCATGTGCTTTAATCTTTTTAAGTTGGGTGGGTGCCTTTCTTGACTGGATCTTATCTATTATCAGCGTTGTTGTTATAAGGTTGGTGCCCTTTGCAATTCGTTTCTTTTGAATAATCTCAGATTCAATTGTGTGAATTGCACTCTGACTGTCCGTATATATTGTTGCTCTAGTTTCTATGTTGATCAGCGACAGTGCTGTGAGGATTGCTATTAGTTCTGCCCTTGTGGAAGAAGTGAATCAATCTTTATAAGAATAAAAAATATACTTAATACAATTCATAGGAAATTATAAAATATATTTTTAGAGATATTATATTAATTAAGTCAAATCAAAATTTTTAAAAAAAAATTTTAAGCAAAATAGAAAACAAGTAAAAAAAACTTAATTGATAAAGTTAATTGAAACAAATTGTAAACAAATCTAAAAAAAAATCTTAGATATATAATCAAAGATATCTTTAATAAAAACCTAATCTAACTAATAGAATAAGCAAATAAAATAAAGACAAAAAATATACTTAAAAAAATAATAAGCAAAATAATAGAGATATTATAAAAATTTTGGATTAAAAGATATAAACAGTTCCAACAATAAAAATAAATAAAAACATTAATAGAAAAGATAAAAAAAAGTAAAAACAAAATATATTTATATAATAACTAATCTGCTATATGACTAAATTAATAAAATATAGCTAATAAACAAAAGAAAATCTTAAATATATAATAAAAACTTATAAAAAAATTGATTTAATCAAAAAAAAGAATATTATTAAATTTAATTTTTATTATTTCTACAAATAATAATACTAATAAAGCCTTGATATATAAATTTTGACAAATATTTAAGAGTAAGTTAATAATAACAAATTAATATAAAAAATTTAATATAGTTTAATATATATTTAAAATAATTTATAAATAATAATTCTTGTAAAAAAAAATACAAATATAAATTAAATAAAGTATATTAGGCAAAACCTAGCTAATTAAAAGAAAAATAAATTTTATTTTTTTTTAATTATTTTTATTTTATAATTTTAACTTTTATTTAATACTTTTATATTACCTTTTTAATTAAAAATCATTTAATTTTTTAGAAACCAATTATATTATTAATTTGATATTATATAATTAGAAATATATAGAAAAATATATTTTATTATTTTTTTTGTAATTAATATAATTAATTAATTTATGATCTTAATTAATTATTTTTTAGAAAGTTTAATATAACTAAAAATTCAAAATCAAATTAAGATAAACAAAATTTTTCAAAAAATTAAAAAAAAAAGTATATTTTAAAAAAAAAAGTAAAAAGTCAAAAAGATAATAAAAAGATTAAGATTTTTTTCTTATTTTTTTGAATTTTTAAATCTCTTGAAATTTTTTAAATATGTTTTTTTTATTAATTTTCTTCTTAGAAAGGTATTATTATTATAAATCTCTTAGATAAGTTTCTTATATTTAATTATAGAAATAAACAAAAAAAGTGAACAAGTAATAATTGCTATTTGCTTTACTAATTAAAAAATCAATGTTATTAAAAAAAATATAAATTATAAAAATATAAAATCTTTTAAAAATATTTATTTTTTGAATTAATAAAAGAGTTAACAAAAAAAGTTTTGATTTATTTAATTAAAAAATTATTATTAAAATAATGAATAATTTATATAATTTTTTAGTTTTTTTAAAATATTGTATATATTTCAAATATTAAATTAATTATAATAAAAAAAAAAAAAACAATAATTAATAAATATAATTATATTTTTTATTTTTAATATTAAACCAGTTTTTTTAAAATAAAAATAAAAAACAAACTATTTAATTTAATTATTGATTTTAAATATTTTTAAAATAAATAATTATAATATAATTATTATAATTTATATAATTTGAAAATTAAAATATTAATAAAAATTTATTTTTTTTTCTTTTTATTGTAAACTATAATTTTTTAATAAAATTTTTAATAAATAATAAAATAAATAAAAATTAATATAAGTTTTTTATTATATTTAACTAATTATTTATAATAAAACTTTAAATTTATAGTGTAGGAATAATATATTTTTAGTTTTTTTTAATTATGTTTTTAGTAAAGTTAACATTAATATAATCAATTTAAAAATAATTAAATATAAAATTTATTTAGGCAAGGCGATAATTTTGATCCCGTGATTTATAATGCAAAAAATTCTTGAACCGGAAAGATGCATGTTAAATTTTAATTTCCAACTTGGCACCCAATTGTATAAAAACTTGATAAATTGATATTATATATACGCCATTCTGTAGGGTAACGTATACAATGTTAATCCGCAGAAGCCGATTCTACATTCCAGACATTTTCTACTATAGTAACCATTCTATACATTGAAGCAGAAAATTTGCTCTTGCTTTCTACAATCAGCCTTTCGTCTTCCCTTCTTTCGCGTCTTTAGACATTTCTTTCCCTTTCATAGAAGCGATTTGAAAATAAGTTCAGGTAATTTTATCTGTACTAAAAAAAAAAAAATCCTTAGTAAATCCTCCGGCAGTTTTACTATACTTCGCAGTTCACCATCTTTGGTGTTCATAGTTACTCCTTCCCTTACCCACCACCCTAAAGTACACGACGCTTTAACAAACGAAGCATTTCTTCTATAAAAATTAACCGAGTAAGATGGCAGCGAATCATCACCACCACGTGTCAAATAGCATGGCCAATAGCTCACATAACCTACACTCAAATGTAGTGGGTGTGCACTACAGAGTTGGAAAGAAAATCGGTGAAGGAAGTTTTGGTGTCATCTTTGAAGGTAATTCTATAATCTTTTCCCAAAGTCAATAGTTTATGTTTTCCAATATTAAGAATATATATATATATGGATTCGACTTTGGTCGATTCATTTTATGTGAGATACCAATCCTTTTTCCTTTCTTTGCAAACCTTATCAGCTACACAAGATGCTAACATGTAACGTTAACATAAGAGATATCAACGGTTGCCTTTTCTTTTTAGTTTTTATAACAACAAACAAAAGAGTTATTCTCCCTTGAAATAATTCATTTCATCTTAAAAAAAAAAAATTTATTTAACGTGGCGTTGAGAAAGTAACTTGTCAAAAAATATTTGTTATTATTTTTATATTTTTAATATTTTTATTCGAGTTCAATCCTGGGTCAAGCAAAAGCCAATTCAGATACGCACGCAAGCCAAAAAATTCAAGTTGCAAAAATAGGAAATATTTCTGTCAATATTCTAATCTGTTCTTTCAAATTGATTCCTTTGCTGCATTCAGGAACAAATTTGCTAAATAATCAACAAGTTGCCATAAAATTCGTACGTTGTAAACAATCTTATTTATTATTAACAAGCATTGATACCTATGATCAGAAAATAAAGTTATCGATTGAATCACAACATCTTAAAATTAGGAACCTCGAAAGAGTGATGCGCCCCAACTTCGAGACGAATACCGGACATACAAAATTCTGGCAGGATCAGGTAATTGTCACTCAATACTTTGTTGCAAATGTAAATAAACATATAGAAGATCTTTGATTAATTGATGTAACATTCCACTTTCTAGTTGGTATACCGACTGTATACTATTTTGGTCAGGAAGGTCTACATAACATACTGGTCATAGATCTCCTTGGTCCTAGTTTAGAAGACTTGTTTGATATGTGTGGAAGAAAATTCAGTATTAAAACGGTGGTTATGGTAGCCAAGCAAATGGTAGGAGATATAGTACACGATCATTATTAACAGTATATCCCTTTTTACATGGTTTTTTACTATTTTTTACACCATCGGATTTTTTCCTATTCTCTTTACCTCAATATTTCATTTCATGTACTTGTTGGCATTATTGCGAATCATATTTTTTTGTATGGTGCGGTCGACAATTAGCTTACACGAGTGCAAACCATTCATGAGAAGAATCACATCTACCGCGATATTAAACCAGATAATTTTTTGATTGGTCGCCCTTCAACAAAAGCTGCCAATATAATTCACGTTGTTGATTTTGGTATGGCTAAACAATATCGAGATCCGAAGACAAAGCAACATATTCCATATCGAGAAAGGAAAAGTTTAAGCGGAACGGCTAGGTATATGAGCATTAATACTCACCTGGGAAGAGGTAAGGTCTCAATTTACACATAAATCGCAAACAAAGAGCTTTACTCTTTGTAAGAATTTTTTTGTAATTAAAATTTTCTCTTTCTTTCCTAGAGCAATCAAGACGTGATGATCTAGAAGCTCTTGGTCATGTGTTTATGTACTTTTTAAGAGGCGGGCTGCCATGGCAAGGACTCAAGGCAGCTACTAATAAACAAAAGTATGAAAAAATTGGGGAAAAAAAGCAATCAACCCCTATTAAGGAATTATGTGAGGGATTTCCAGGTTTGTATATTTGAATTATTAATATTCTTACATCACAAACAAACATTGTCTTGAAATCGCCGGCATTTCTTACACAGAGGAGTTTGGAACTTATCTTCATTATGTCCGTAAGCTTGGTTTTGAAGAACAACCTGACTATGATTTTTTGAGGGAACTTTTCACCAAGGTTTTAAAAAATTCTAATGAGACAGAAGATGGTATTTACGATTGGATGTTGTTAAATGGAGGAAAGGGATGGGAAGCAAGCTCGGTAAGAATAATGTTTATAAAAAAATTTTTTAAAAAAATGTCTGATTATTTTCCCATATTTCTTATTTTTCATTTTCCATCGTCTTATCGCTTTTTGGTCTGTGCTCTACACACACATATCATTAGCGGAAAGATGACGGCACACTGAATCCTGAAACTAACACCCGCCTAACAATTCACGGCACCTCCTCCCAGCAATATAGTTCGAATGCGGGCATTCATCAACCTAATCATCTTCACTATCATCACGGTTCGTCTGATCCTCGCCTTCACCGTTCATCACTCAATCGCGGACCGTCCATGAACCGCGGTCAACAACAACCTCCGTCCTCTCCTGCTTTGGTCCACGCCACTTCTAAGGCACAACGAGGAACAGTGAAAGCACAAAAGCATAGCAGTGTTATGAATTCTGGTGTGGATGATTTTAATAATCATTATCGTGCTGGTATGAATGGTGGTAATAGCGGAAACGTAACTGGCGGTCAAGGAACTAATGGTGCAGATTCAAACTCTCATCGAAGACGAGGAATTTGGCAAAAGTTCATTGGCGTGATTACATGTAGTATGTGTAGCTAAGTTTCTTTTTTATTTTTATTTTATTCTATTTTTTTTTTCTTTTTTTAAGAATGTCGTCACGCGGTGATTCGTGCTTTGCGAAGGGGTGACAAATCACGTATGGCACTTGGTAGTTAACATATAAGTATATCACTTGTTTAAAAAAAAAAAAAACTTTTCTTTTCCCCTTTTCCCGCTTCACATAGTATTGTAAAGCAAAACCATTTGGATTCCTAAAATATTGAAACCAAAAATTACCCTTCAGAACACTTGATTTTTAATTATTTCTAATTTTCGTCATTTTTTCTTTTCCTGTTATGATACTCAATCTACATATATTCTATTCGAAAAAAAAACTAAAATTTTATATAGGTTGACAACGAAACCTTACCAACAAATTTCCCAGAGCCAACAAATCAAGAAAACAAAATTATTTTTGAACGTTTTACATTTTGGATTGTATAATTGTTTCCTTCCAATAATCCTGAATCTTATTTTGAAACATTATTTCTTAGATACAAAATCCTTTCCTAAAATTACCTACTCTCATTTAATTATAAAACAATTCTGATTTTTTTTAAAAAAAAAACCTTGATTTTATTTTCCTCTAATATAACATTAACACATGTATCTTTTTTTTTGTACCTGTAAAACTTTCTTGAGGGGTTGGGTTTGAATCTTTTGGCACAATCAATGATTGGAAAACTATTAAAAAACACGAGTAAAAGTTATATGCGGGCACACTTGTCATTGGTTTTATTTTATTTTTTCGCCCTTTTCTTTATTTGTTTTCTTTCTAAATTTGTGTAATACTTTTTTTTTTTTTGCTTACTAATAGAATTTCGATTTTCCTTCATCTTATTTTTCTGGTGGAAAATGTATTTCTTTGATAATCTTATATGTATGTTGATTAATAGGATATATTCTAAACTTTAATTTCAGGTAAGAATTAGCAGATGTGTAGAAGTAGATGGCACAATAAAAAAAAAAGTAATATTTTCAGAAGGCGATATTTTAATCCGCGTTAGAACCTTTCTTCTGTTCAATGTATTTTAATTTTAATTTGTCGAGTTCTTCATGGGTTGTACTGTAAACAAAAAAGCATCAACATTTGATTTTAATTAACTTCGACAAATAAATAAAAAAATTCGTCATACAAACTATGTAAACACGAATTCATGGCTTGAAGTTGTTTTCTACACGCCCACACCACTGAGAAAACCCTTCCAGTGGTGCAATCCACGAAATCTGTGACAAGCTGTAAACTGTGATATCGCAAGAATGTAAAAGAACGTTCAATCTGAATGTGCTCTAACCATACCACGAATAACGTGATCACAATTTGTTCTCGCATTCTGTTTCAATTGGTCAAAAAGTTTTTCTTCTTCACCGCGTGTCAAAATGTTCATCTTTTTGGATAACTAAATATAACTGCTAAATGCACGCGCTAAAATTTATATCATAATGTTACACAGAATATTACTATTCCAGATGAACTGGAATGTTAACTATCAGTAGAACAAAAGTTATCATACTAATTATTATATTATTATCGTCTATGGAATCTATATCAAGTAAACAAGATTTACCAGTTAAAAACTGGAAATTTTGTTTATGCAGGTTTATTTTAATAAAAATAGGTATGCAGCATAAGTTTAATTATAGAAAATTAAAATCGCATAGACATACATAGACTCGCATATTTAAAGAAGTATATTGTATAATATAGTTTTTTTAAAAAAATATAATATATAAAAGAAATTATATATATATAATATAAATCTTTACAAAAAACAAATAATATATATTATATTATATTATATAAATTATTTTATTACTTTTAATATCTATTTTAACTATATTTTTAAATATAACTTTAAAAATAAATAAATAAAAATTTTTTTTAATATCTATTTATTTATAAAATTTATAATTTATTACTATGGTTTATCTGAATAAATATAAACTACTATTTATAATTTTAATTACCATATACATATATATAATAAAATTAAAATTAAATATTTTTCAAGAACCATATTATAATATAATTATTAAATAATATAATAAATAATTAAAAATCATATTAAATTTAAAATTATTATTAATCAAATTTTTTTTATATAATAATTTAAAAACATATTACTTTTTTTTTTCTTTAATCTTTATTTTTAAATCAATATATTGTTTTAAACTTAATTTAAATTTGATTTTTTTATAATATTTTTTTGAAGATTTATAGAATATATATTTTTATATTCTTTTAATTTCTTTATTTGATTTTATTTTTTCTTGATTTAATTATAACTGCTTTTCTTATATTTTTTTATTTCTATTTTTTATCTTGTTTCTTATAATTGAAATATTTGTTATTTCAAATTTTTTTTTTATAACTTGTTTACAAATAAATCCTAATAACTTGTTTAATAAAAACTTGATTTTATTATTTTGACTTTTGATTTTATTATTATTAATATTTTTTTTATAATATTTTTTTTTAAAAAAATCTTAAGTAAATATAATATTTTTTTTTTTAAAGAATTTATTTATATATTATTTATTTATATTATTCAAAGTTAAAAATTTATTATATATTATATATTATTTTTATTTGAAAAAAATTTTTTTATTTGTTTTATTAATATTTTTAATACCTTATTTGCTTTTTAAAAAATTTTTTAATTATTTTTTATATGTTTAATTTTAATTGATTTATTTTATTTCTATATTAATAAAGATTTCATTTCAATATAGTATTATTAAGATTTTTTATTAATACTAATTAGTTATATAAAATTTCAATTTTGTTTTAATTTTTTTATAAAAAAATCCATATTATTATTATTAATCTTGCTTTTACTATATGCTTTAATTTTGATTAATTTAAATTATATTTTGTTCTTATATATTAAGTTAATAAATTTTAATTATAGATATCAGTTTTTATATATCTTATTTTTATTTCTATATTTTTTTATAATAATTATATATTTTTTAAAGAATATTAATTCAAATAATATTGTTTGTTCAAATTTCTATTTGATTTTTTACAGTATAATCAAAATATAAATAGTTGTAACTAGTTTAATCAACAATATTAAAAACCAATTATTTACTTTTGCTTAAAAAAATCTTTTAGAATTTAATTATTTTTTTATAATCAAAGCCATATCTATTCTTAATATTTATTTCATACTTTTTAAAGAATTTATTTATATAATAACAATAAAATTATTAACAATATATTTTAAAAAAAAACCTGTGGGTCCATAGAACAGTGATTAGTGCTCCACAGATCAAATTACAAGATACTGGTTCAATCCCATGTGAGAATGGTTAAATAGAATTAATATGATATCTGGCATCATAACCAAACATATATTATTTTTCATAAGAAGCTGTTTCATATGCTAATCCAATAGGTGTTGAGATTGTAATCTTCCTGTTAAGGTGCAGTAGCATGATGATCATCCAGATAGTGTCATAATAGTCATCTACTGAAAGAAGTAACAAATCATTCACTTATTTGGATATATAGATTGGACTATACTCTATCTTATCAAATCTGTACAATACTCTCATTGGTGGTTGGAGCCCTAGCTTGAAAATCCAGGTGATAAGGTGACAAGAGGCACTTGGATCAACTTCCCTAATCAAAACTCCTCTATGCCTTAATTAAAATTGGACCAGTAGGTTAGATAGTTTAAAACTAGTGATAGGATTTCCATCTCCTAGATAAGTCCCCTCTAGAAATATGAACTTACTTAATGAATACTTACTAGTATCGATAAAGTAATAGTATACATCAGGAAATTTTTTTGGTGAAGATCTTCGCAAATCTTCGGGCGTAGACCTCCAGAGAAACTCCGTCGTCGTTAAAAGACTCCGGAGCAAAAAATTATATATTAACCTCCGGAGATCTTTGATTTATTTAA